TATTACAAAGGCCGTTTTGATCCTATATGGATATAGTTGATGGACGAGATTGTTATAGAATACCTATTGTATGACAACAAGTCTTGAGCTCGTGAGATTATGCATTTATCAGGAAACATATATTGCCCAAGTGGGTTATGGTCCTCAAGAAATCAACACTCCCATATTTATTCTTATTCTGTCAGAGAGTTTATACTTAAGGGAATTCTATCTTCTTGAAAGATCACAACCAAAGAAAGATTCAAGGATTTCAACCAATCAATTAATTCAGGTACGCTTCCGCTAATTTAATATTTATTTATTTTTAATGGTTTGACATGATTAGATCCTAGTTGTTTTCATATATAATATGATTTAGTTCTAATAGAGGCACCCAGAAAGAATTATAAACTCCCTGTGGCAATTTGCATCTCCCCAATGTCTATCTAAATCACTATCTGGTTGCGGAGCACTAGAAAATTCAACAACCTGCTCCGTGTAATATCCACCTAATATGGCTGGAGGCTGGAGCTATCTCTATCTCATTTTCTACGAATCCAACATGGATGGGCTACGTTATATAACTTAGACCCTCTAACGATCCTATTAGAATCGAATTCTCAAACTAATTTTTGAGGTTTTTTCAAAGGTTGAATTAGAATCGAATTCTTAAATTAATTTTTGAGGTTTTTTCAAAGATTGAATGGTTGGAAGATGTATCGAGAGGCGTTGAGATATCATGTGATCATACTCCTTAAAGTTTTAATTTTTCATATTATTTAAGTTTTTCGTTATATTTTTTTAATAGATGTTTTGATTTCAAACCACTTAAATTTTAATATAACATTTTAAGTTCATACCTCTTATATAAAATCATGCGATCTGATTTGATAATCCATCTTTTTCTTCTTAATTAGATGAAGTCGGGGCAGTGTCCAAAGAAAACCATCCATTGTCCTCCACAAGAAAACGATGTCAGCATCTACACAAAGCTACATTTCTATCGGGAATTATCATGGAATCTCTGATTAAAAGCAAACAAACACAGACCAACTACCAAATCTCACATGGTAGTTTTTTTATAAATAAAGAATGATTCCTTACGAGTACAGCTGAAACATTATCTCATTAGTAAAAAAAAGTAAGTTCAATAGTTCATCCTTTTCTATTTTAATCCCTAATTTACTACTATTGAACTTATATATTTTCCTTTCATCTTCAATGCTATAGTATATAATAACATTTCAGTTTTGGTTCTATATATATTTCTGCTACCTTGTGACCATAAATTTCTTACCACGCATGAGAATAGAACAGATATTGGGTAGCAACGAGACGCTTACATGTATGTTCTATACTGTTGTGTCTTGAATTGTAAGAAGAAAGAAACTTCCGATAGAAAATTACATGTGCAAGATAAAGTGTTTTATATTTGTAGTGGCTGAGGTGCAGAAGCTATAATAACGCTAGAGGGTCAGAAATGTAGCACAAAAACCCATGTGCAACTTGGGCGCTTTTACTTGGCTTATATTAATTGGCTGACAATGTTAATCTCTCACATTAGGAAGAGATAGAAATAACAAAAAGAAGTTTACAAGGTTTCCGGTTGTCGCGATGTTTTATGGCGACATCCTCCAACTACCACTCATGGAGTGGAAGAAGCTGATCACGTATGACATGTTTCTGCCGGTTGGAAGTTGGAATGGTTCGAAATATGCTTGGTATTTAACCCAATCCAAAACGATGTCACGAAAGAAAACCCAAGACTGATAATATGGACTCTGCTTCATGGTCCTTTTCGGACCTCCTTTTGTTATGTTTTGGGCTCTGCCCAAGGATCCAGATCCAAGATAAAACAGAACATCCTACATTGCTCTGTATATTTATTCTTTATGCCAATTTGTTTCAGGATTTTGATGTGTTCCCTCAGTGACCTTTGTTCGTTCCAAATTGAAACTGGTGAGCAAGTCAGCCAACATGAAGATGTCTGTACAATGGAGGGTCAATCTAATGTTAGTTACTTTCAAAAACAAAAACAAAAAACAATCTAATGTTAGTTGTGTTCCCTCTTGATTAAGTTTGTATACTAATACAAGTCAACCCAAGTTTAATTTTTTTTTTTAAAAAGGCAAAAGATTGTGTATTAGTAACTCAGAATCGTTGCTTATTTTCAAGCCTGAAACCATTTCCTACTCTCTCTTTTTCTCTCCCTTAATTTCTAAAAATACCAATATGTTATTTCTACACATTATTTCTAACAATGCCAATGTAATTGTTGTTAACGTTAGAAATATGAAGTAAAGTGGAATTCTTATTTACGGCTAATTTGCATTTCCAATAAGTTATGTTATTTGATTTGATGTGAAGCAGTCCTGACATTATATTAAGAGGAAATTCACTAAAGTTTTGTCGTTAGCTGAAATTAAACTTTCCTATCATGTTCAGTGAATAGTGTTGCTCTTATTGTAATCCTCTATTTAAGAGCAAGTTTACTGATGAATTAAACAATTAACATTTTTAGCGAATAAAAGTAGGATGGAGTGTAAATGAACAGAGCTTTTGGTGAACTGTTCGTTTATTAAACTAAATAAATGAACATGGCGTTTGGTGAACTGTTCGTTTATTAAAGTTTACCGATGAATTAAACAATTAACATTTGCAGTGAATAAATGTAGGTTGGAGTGTAAATGAATTGTTCGTTTATTAAGTAAAATAAACGAAGTATAAACAAAAATTTTATGTTCATTTTATAAATAAACGAACACGAGCAAATGCGTGCTCAGTTCATTTATATTCACGAATAAGTTTGTTTAGAAGCTTGTTTATAGGCTCGTTTAGAAACTCGTTTATTTTTTTATATTTTGAATATTAGTGAAAGTACATACTAAATTGAATATATGAGGAAATTTGGAGTTTAAACTATGAATCCTAAGAAGTTTAAGTACTAGTTGTGTAGTTTTACCAATTTCTCTATTATAACACAAAAAACCCCTCTCGAGTCACTTTCTTTTCATTTTTATTATAAATATGTTCGCGTCTGATAAATAAATGTTAAACGAATATATTTGTAAACGGTAATTAGACCCTAAACGAATTTATTCATCGATATTAAATGAATATATTTGTAAACGTTAAATAAATGAACACGAACATCTTTAAAAATAAATAAACGAACACGAATACAATATTAACGAATTATACAAACATAAACCAAATATACAAACGAACCTGAACAATATTTCTTCGGTTCATTTAAACCCCTAAATGTAGGCTGGTGCTTTAGGGTTACAGTACCCTAGGTAAGTCTAGGATTCTAAAAATGGGCAGAGACCCTTCCTTCGAATCTGAAAATCTCGTCAGACTTTAGTAAGTACAAACTGAGAGATGAGTTGATCCAGTTGCAGGGTTGCCATTGTGCAGAGGTACGTATATACATGAAATCATTCCTGCTGTTGGAGGTGACCACGTAATTATGGAAACTGAAAAGAAATAAGCCATTTATTTCTAGTTTTTTACAGCTATTGATCCCTAGTAGCAGGCTCGGGGAGTTCTACAGTACGATCAGCTTAAAAACGGTTAAAATAAAAATTTATCGGTTTTGTTATTGTTTAAATAATAAAATCGATAAAAATTATTTAAATTTTTCCGGTAATTACCTAAAATATTATGTTAATCCGATCATTTTTTAAGCCTAATAATATTTCCGGTATTTTTTTTCAAAAATTCGGTAAAAAACATCTAATAATAACAAAATCAATAACACCTAATAATATTTCCGGTAATTTTTACCGATTTTATTATTTAACACAATAACAAAATCATAACACTTTATTTTAGCCGTTTTTTAATCTACTGTACCGAAACTATCCCAGCGGGCTCACTCATTTCGAATTCTCACATTTAGGACTCATTCGTCAAATAACGTTGGACCCACCATCTGATTTGCATATTGTACCCTAAAGTGATCTTACAAAAATAAATTACAACCAAATAATATTTGATCGTCATCCTATCACTTAGATTTCATTTGGGAATATTTATTTAAATAATTTTTAATGATTTTATTTCAATATAAAAATATCATTTTTTAAAAAAAAAAATTTAATTCAAGCCGATAATTACATTTCAAATGTCAAATTCTAACTAAAAATGAATTGATTAAAAATGCTTTTGAGTTTCAAAATGAAATCTTGAGCCAAAAATATATCCATAAACATTTTCAAAAGACCCCTTAATCGATCTCTGATTCTTCTTTTATTTGTTTTACAGTTCTCCTTGTGAATCCTTATCCTCTTCAAAATATTACTATATTACCTATGTTAGGAATAAGGTGACCATTCAATTGAGCCGGGTCAAAAAATTTTGAGTTATTTGAGTTGATGAGTCATATTTTACAACTCGAAGTTGACTTGAAATTTTTTTAGTCTAGTTGAGTTTATAAAATTCAAGTCGAGTCGAGTCGAATTGAATTTTAGAGTTTCTGTTTAAATTTAATTGTAAATATTTATAATATTATTTTATTCTAATTTAAATAGTTTTCTATAACTATATATATATATATATTCATATTTTTCTTTCATCTGTGATATACATACATCATACGGAGTTGATGGACTCGACGCAAACTTGAAAATCAATAAACTAATTACTAAAATCTTCAAGTTACTATTCGAATTGTATTTTAGAACTTAATTTGAACTTAAATTTTTTAATTCAATTCGGATTTATGAAATTATAAGTCAAAGTTAATTAGAATCAATTTTTCTAGAGTTAAATCTAGTTGAAAAATCAATTTTTCCAGCCAATTTTTGCTTGGCCCTAGTTGGAAATTAGAAGCATCTCCTCTTGTTCCAAAGGGTATAATAGGTAACTTAGTTTTAACGGTTAAACCCATCCGGCCATCCGAACGTAAAGGGGGTTTGAAAAACAACACAAAGGAAGAAAATTATAATCCTGCCCCTCCTCTCCCTATCTCTATTTTTTATTTTCTATTTTCACTCTCTCATCGCTATCACCGACTTCGTAACGGTTAGCCGTCGTTTTTGCGGCGCCGATTTTACTGCTGGCCTGCAATCTTCTTCAAAACTACTCATATATTATTTCCTTGAAATCCTCCAGTGCATCGCTTCTGTGCTCTGGTTTCACTATTATTTCCGAATCTAATCGCGTTGCCTTCTTGTTTACACCGCCTTATTGAAAATACGGATTAAAGGTACCAAACTTCCAATGGCTCTGCCGTTTCCGGCTTCTATTTTTATCATAGATTCCGCGAGCACCGCAAGTGTGATTTCATCTGCCATTACATTGTTGAAACTTGAATGTTGATAACTGTATTTTCTTTAGATATTTTTCTGGATTTCCTTTATATATGATTTCATCTGCCATTACATTGTTTATTTATTCTTTGAACTCGACGAATGTTTGCGTTTCACTCGATGTTTCTTCGTTTTTCTCTTCTTCTCGGTGGAATACGTGGCATAAATTTTAAACACCTATAATTTCGTACGGCATTCTATTTCTTTGGTATCTAATTAGTGTTTACTTAATAGTCCATGTTACTTGTTATGAGTTGCATACAAGGTAAGTTTAGAGTTTGATTAGCTGAATCATTCTGGTTTTTGAAATTGTATGATTACATTACTCGTACTACTCTGTTCGTTTGCTAAGAAAAGATGACGATAAATTGACATCTAAGCAGGTTTTTTTTTCATTTCGGGTAGCTGAAAATTCTTTCTCAACGAAGTAGGAAATTTTTTTGGACCCTTTGGCATATTTTTACCTGCTTAGATTTATGGGGCCAATAAATTCTTAAGTTTCAATTTGATTAACCTTGTTTGATTGGGATTTATAGCGTGTTTGGATAGCGGGAACTGAAGTAATCCCTCTTTAGTATTTCATCAAGGAAAAAAATAAAGAGGAGAAACCTCGGTAACAAATTCTCCCCGGGTTTTCTTTTGAAAGAGATTTGGAGATGCTACAAACTAATTTTCTTTATTTTCGAAAGAGGAGAAACTTAGGTAACAATATCACTCTAGCCTCTAGGTTTTCTTTTGAAGAAAATTGGAGATGTTGCATATTATGACTAATATCCTTTTCTTTTGAACTTAAAAATTGCATTTCCCATCTTAAATCATCACTTCAATAAAATACCGTGATGAGGATTTCAATTCTTAATCTTTCGAGGAATCTGGATACGATAAGGTTTGAAAGACAGATAAATTCTCATTGGGGCTGATATTTTGCTTCGATTAGCATATATATATATATGGCTGTTCTTGTTTTCTTGGATTTATAATGTTGATTTTGATGCTGACCTTTAACTCCTGCGAGTATTCTCTTTTCCAGGAAATAAACAAAATGATTGGATCTTTTCTTACCAGAGGACTCGTGTATGTTTTACTTTACAACTGATTCTTTTTCTCAGTTTAGTATTATTTTATTCCCTTCCTTGAAATTAATCTTTTAGTTTTAATTTGGCAGGATGGTTTTTGGCTATGCATATCCAGCATACGAATGTTATAAAACTGTTGAAATGAATAAGCCTGACATTGAGCAACTGCTGTTTTGGTGCCAGTACTGGTAGGTCTTCATTTGGTATTCTTTTAAAGGCTGTGCTAATTTTATTTATGTTATAACTTTTCTTTTATTCCCACCCTTTTCTTCTCTGGTTTCAGGATATTGGTGGCTGTTTTGACAGTTAGTGAGAGAATTGGTGATGCTTTTGTTTCTTGGTATAGGACCTTAAAATAGTATGTTTTTCATGTCTGCTTTTCGATTTCTCACTGTTTTTTTCTTCTACTTTTGAAGGGTTCCAATGTACAGTGAGTCTAAGTTGGCATTCTTCATATACCTGTGGTACCCTAAAACAAGGGTACGCATAATTAGTTGTAAAGAAGCAAGTAAAATTTACTTGACCATCTACACTACATGTTGATGTTTACTTTAACTGCCCTTATCTTTTCACTTTTTCCAGGGAACTTGTTATGTATATGACTCCTTTAGACCTTATGTTGCAAAGCATGAAAATGAAATTGACCATAACTTGATGGAACTAAGGACTAGAGTTGGAGATATGGCATTTCTGTACAGGCAAAGAGCTACAAGCTATGGCCAGACAAGAATTTTTGAGATCCTGCAATATATTGCTTCACAGTCAACTCCAAGACCTGACTGTCCTCAGGTAATTACGAGATTATAACCAAAGTTAGTTTTTGCTGCCATTACCTCCTCTGTATGAGTTTTATGCAACAAACTTAGTTTTTGATGAAACCATGAAATGGGATGTTTTGTAAAAATGGATAAAAACTCTGTACAGTGTACAATCTTTAGTTTTAATATAAAAAATCGAATGTCTTAAGTAATTGAAAAGTAATTAATCTTTCCAAAAAAGTATTCTGGTTTGTCTTTTTCTATGCACACGATTATACCATATTGAAGTTTGTTTTTCTTTTCTCCATAACTCTAATTTTCTCAAACACAAGGTGTTAGGGCTCGCCAACCCTCTGGTGTTAGAAGCCGTCAATCATCTAGTAAAGCACAATCAGCAGAGCCCGAGGCTGAAGAACCACCTTCACTGACATCTAGCACATCCTCAACTCAACACGAAAAGGAAGTAGGAGAAGAGGTGGGGACTTCGAAGGTGCCTTCACAGGTGGCTAAACCAACTACCCCTTCAACATCCTCAAATGGACAAAAAGCTGATACTGTATCCGAAAGAAGTAGCCAGCCTGCAGAAACTGAAACAGAAGCAATGCAAATTGAATCAGTGCCACCTCCCCGTAATGAAGACACAAACTCTACCCCGAAAGAAACTCTCATAGAAGACAGCATTCGACTCACACGTGGTAGATTGAGGAAAACCGCTCTGCAGCCCATTGAAGTGATGGTGTTAATTCCATTTCTTTTTAGTTTACTGAACTAGCACGTAAATGGTAGGGTGTAAAAGGTAGGATGTGACTAATTCATTGTAATTAATAAATAATAATAATAATAGATAAGAGAAAACTTCTCCATGATTTCTATCCCATATATCAGCGAAATTGTAAGCAACTAAAGAGCGTTATTTTTGTTGGTTTTGAGTTTTAACAATCGTGTTTAGGGCTGTAAATGAGACGAGAAATATCGCGAGCTACTTGAGATTGACTTAGCCAAAGCTTGATAAATACTCGGATTAAATGGAATCAACTCGAGTTCATAACGAGTTAAAACGAACTACTTGCTACTCGATATAAAAAGCTCGTGAGTAGCGCGAAAATATAATATATTAAGATTTTATTTTTTAAATAAATTATTAATAATATTGACATTTGTGTTGATTTTTAAAAAAATATATATAGAGTAAGGTTTTCATACATTTAAGGTTCATGTTCGAGTTTGAGTTTGAAATCGAGTTAAGTTTAAGAATTTTTTTCTTCATTTTGAGCCTTTTCGAGCTGCTCATGAGCTTCAGTTCAGAATTTCAAGTTTGAATCGAGCTTGAAAATTTTAAGCTCACGAGTTTTCGAGTCGAGTCGAGCTCAGCAATACTCGAGCTCGACTCAACTTGTTTACACCCCTAGTTGTGTCTATAATATGTATGTATGTAGTTCATAATTCAAAAAAATTATAAATATAATGAAGAAAAATTATAAATGGTAAAATAAAATAGGCGCTACCTATTATGTTAAAATATCTACTGATTTGTTTAAATTTTACTAATAATGTAAACAGTAAAATAAAATAGGCACTACCTATTACGTTAAACTGTCTACCGATTTGTTTAAAGGTTACTAATAATGTAAACAGTAAAATAAAATAGGCATTACGTATTACGTTAAATTAGCTACCAGTTTGTTTAAAGGTTAATAATAATGTAAACGGTAAAATAAAATAGGTGCTACATATTATGTTAAATAAGCATTACATATTACGTTAAACTAGCTACCGGTTTGTTTAAATGTTAATAATAATGTAAACGGTAAAATATATACAACTTAACCGTTTGAAATATTTTTTTAAAATTCGAAAGTATGGAATTTTACTCTAAAAGTATAGATACTCTAAAGGTTAATAATAATGTATCCATACTTACTCTAAAAATATGAATATTGTTTCGACAGTAAGCATTGTCCAACTATTGTCTTGAAAAAGTATCCAACATATCTTGTATGTATCGATACTTATATTTAAAACTTAACTGGTTAAAATAAAATAGGTACTACCTATTATGTTAAACTATCTACCGGTTTATTTGAAGGTTACTAATAATGTAAACGGTAAAATAAAATAGGCACTACCTATTAAGTTAAATTATTTACCGGTTTGTTTAAATACTACTAATAATGTAAACAGTAAAATAAAATAGGTGCTACCTATTACATTAAACTAGCTACCGGTTTGTTTAAAGGTTAATATAATGTAAACGGTAAAATAAAATAGGCGTTATCTATTATGTTAAATAATTGTTTCTTATTACGTTAAACTAGCTACCAATTTGTTTAAAAGTTAATAATAATTTAAAGAGAAAATAACCTCAGTGACAAAAAATCTCAGATAATATACGATTTTGACCAACTTTTTTTGGATTTGCGAAAATGACCAACAAAATCGCAATGCGATCTCTAATTCGCATTGCGATCTCCACTATCGCAAATTCGTGCGATTTTTCATTTCGCGTTGCGATTTTTCATTTCGCGTTGCGATAATTGCGTTGCGATTTTCCAGTTCGCGTTGCGATAGTTGAAAATCACGTTGCGATTTTCCATTTCGCGTTGCGATAGTTGAAAATCGCGTTGCGATAGTTGAAAATCGCGTTGAGATTTTCCATTTCGCGTTGCGATAGTCTACAGTTGTCGTTGCGATTTTCCAAATTCGTTGCGCCTTAATTCAGTTGTTTTAAGGTGCATGATTGTTAATTGTTTCCTGAATAATCACATTGTATTGGAAACAAGTGTTGGTAATGCTCAATCCCACATAGTATTGGAAACACTATTGGGAATGGTATTTAAGGCTTGGCTTTCCCACTTTCTTGTTGAGTGATAGAGAACAAAGGGGACTCTCGCGCGCCGCCGCCGCCGCCGTCGTGGTCGTGGTAATACGTGTCTTTGACACGTCCGCGCGGATACTATCTTTTTAGAGAAAATTCTAAAGAAACAAAATCTTTTTTTAACTATCGCAACGAATTTGGAAAATCGCAACGACAACTGTAGACTATCGCAACAACAACTGTAGACTATCGCAACGCGAAATGGAAAATCGCAACGCGATTTTCAACTATCGCAACGCAAAATGGAAAATCGCGTTGCGATTTTCAACTATCGCAACGCGAAATGCAACGCGAATTTGCGATAGTGGAGATCGCAATGCGAATTAGAGATCGCATTGCGATTTTGTTGGTCATTTTCGCAAATCCAAAAAAAGTTGGTCAAAATCGTATATTATCTAGGATTTTTGGTCACTAAGGTTATTTCCTCTAATTTAAAATGCTCATAATGTGCACAGTAATATATTGATAATATTGAAAACAAATCAAGTAATTAATCTATTTTGTTATTGTCGGATTTCTAAGGCCCCAACAACTTTAAAAAGGCGCTACTTATTACGTTACATAAGCGCTACTTGTTATGTTATTATAGTTGATAATGTTTCCAGTAATTAACATATTTTGTTATTTTCGGATTTCTAAGGCTCCATTAGCTTAAACTTTGGTAACATTTTAGGCGCTAGCTAATATGTTGATAATATTGATAACAAATCAAGTAATTAACCTTGTAACATCCCAAAATACGGGTTAGTGACCACAATTGTAAAATTTCAGAATATGATGATTAAAGTATAATAGTTTAATAGTTTAATGATTTGTTCGGAAATATTTCCTAAAAGTTTATAGTAATTATCCAAAGAATTAAAGGGCAAAATGGTCATTAGACTTGAAAATTATAATTAAATGATATATATATATGGATAAGGATGGGAGATTTTCCAGAAAAATCTCTTCTCTCTTTTCTTCTTCATTTTCTCTTCTCCACGTGTGAAGCCAAGCAAAGGTGAGTTTTCTTTTGAACTGATTAGGTGCTGAAATTTAAGTTTAGTTTTGATTATTAGATGCTAAGTAAGATTAAGGAAGGATTAATTTGCTTTAAAACAACAAAATGAAGAGTTTATGAGGATTTAAAGATTTGGAGTTTTTGAATGAAATATCGAAATAAAGTTTATATTGAGAATTGAAAGTTGAATTTGACTTGTCATCAAGTTAATTAAGGGATAGGAAGTGTTAGAATAGGAATTTGAACATGTTGCAAAACTAGTATAATTTTTGAGATTACATAGGAATGACTAGATTTGAAGTTAAAGAAGTGATTATGGAATAGAAATAAGTTTAAGTATGTGTATTAAAGTTAGGAGTATTAAAGGAAGTGAAATAAGAAGGTTTGAGTTGAAAATTGATGATTTTCGAGCTTAGAATACAATTTCTGGGTAGAGGGAACCGATACCCTATGAATGGGAATCGATTCCCCCTCTTGAACGAAAAATTCCAGTATGTACAGGGGGTATCGATTCCCCTGGGGGGGTATCGATTCCCCCCTAAATGAAAATATAGAATTGATTCATTAAATCGGTTTAAGTTATTAACATCAAGTTTAAAGTTTAGGCTTCTGATAGTTGTTTTGAAATGATATATTTATGTAGATATTGAGCCTAAACAATTTCCGGAATAATCAAAGGATTATAATCGAATCAAAGCAAGGCTAAGGTGAGTGCAATTTAAATTGTACTTATGTGATTGATCAAACATTGGCTTGCGATGAGTCAATGATAGAGTTACTATGGTAAGAGGTAAATTATATAATGTTATGTGATTACTCTGTGTGCATTAGTACATAGAAATGGATGTATGTTTATATGTTACATGATTTACATGCTTACATGAAAATGCAACATATGATATTAGATATGTGCTTACACATACATTTGATATGTGATAGAAGAGAAGGAATATGTGATTATGATATCAAGGATTACACGTACATGTGATACGTGACTGAAAAGAAAAGATATGTGGTTATAAGAGAAAGAATATGAATAAGTAATGTGAACGGTCATAAATGATAATGCCCATGTTATGTGATATGAGAGCTAGGGGTATAGTTGGCATGCCAAGGGTCGAGGGTTACCTATGTTCTTCGGGACATATGGACTGTTTACCTATGTTCTTCGGGACATATGGACTGTTTACCTATGTTCTTCGGGACATATGGACTGTTTACCTAGGTTCTTCGGAATCTATGGACTGGTCCTTCGGGACATTGATCGAGCTGTGGTGACAGCATATGTGTGCACAACCTCAATATACTCACATACCTTAAGTTCTCAAAAGTATACATGGGCGAATACATGGTCCTTACAGAGAGTAAATAAATAAATTGATTTGTTACTATGTATGTTTGGTTGTGAAGTAGTATATGTGTTCCATGGTATGTAGAGAAAGGTTCGATATATGTATTTATATGATAAAAAGGTACTAAAAGTACTTGTATTATCTCATGTTATCATGTATACTGAATTATATGCGACTCGATTGAATGTTTATATTTATGAGAAATGCATTATTATTATGTTTTTGCTTCACTAAGTCTATGACTTAGCGTGTAAGTGATTTACACGTAGGTACTGAGAAGCAGAAGGATCAAAGCTAAGTTCATAGTAACAACATATCTCTGCTCAAAGACCAGATCAGAAGTAAATTACACAGTATGTATTATTATGTGATAAATAGGTTGGCATGTAAATAAAGTAGGTAAATTAGGTATTTATGCTCTGATCGAGTTTTGTAATATTCTAAACATATTTATATAAGTACAAATGCAAAGAAATGAACTGTTAAATTTTTACGAGTGTTATGTACAATTTACGAAAATCACTGTAGCAGGTTACTGTATTACTGTTCATATAGTATTTCACCGTTCATAAACACGTTTTTATCTCCAAATTTTATACCAAACATAATTGAATAATACATGATTGTATTTTCTTAACATCAATTCAAATGTCCAGTTATTTTACAAGAATAAAGGTTTTGAAAATGTCAATGTGACATCTCGGACTCGTATCCAGGTCGGGTATGGGTTGGGGTGTTACAAACCTATTTTGTTATCGTCGGATTTCTAAGGCCCCGTCAGCTTTAAACAGACGCTACTTATTATATTAAATAAACGCTACTTGTTATGTTATTATAGTTGATAATGTTTCTAGTAATTAACATGTTTTGTTATCGTCAGATTTTTAAGGTTCCAAAGCTTAAACTTTAGTAACATTTTAGGCCATACCAAATATGTCGATAATATTGATAACAAATTAAGTAATTAATCTATTTTGTTATTGTCGGATTTCTAAGTCCCCATCAACTTTAAAAAGGCGCTACTTATTACGTTACATAAGCGCTACTTGTTATGTTATTATGGTTGATAATGTTTCCAATAATTAACCGGTTATGTTAAATTCAATATTTTTTGGCGCATTTTACATACGACGATAATATTCCATATTATTACCATTATTATTACTAACACAAATAAAATTTCCGGTGAAAACATATAACATTTTCGATAGAGCTTTTAATTGGTCACCTATTTAATCAGTCACGCTGATTTTTAGACGTATATTAATCTGACTCACAGTAGAACCTCCCACATGTTGCACTATCTTTAGTCTTGAAGTCGGTTTATTTCATATGTTGCACTATGTTTATTTGATCTCTTCGTTTATTGGTTTAGGAGCTAGGCTTTACTAAAACCATGTAAACGTTAAGGAGCGTGCTTTGTTTTCAATTACATTCAATTGATGCATGATATTTAAACTCAATTGAGTTGTTTTTTTTAATGTACACATAATAATTTAATTTAAATATGACATCTCAAAGTGGTACCAAGACTTGATATTATGATTTATTTATGGATTTTAATGTTTTAGAATTAATATTGTGATTTGAATCTTGATATTTGATATTTTAATATTGTGATTTGAGTTTTGATGCTTTAATATTGTGATTTACTTATGAATATTATTTTTAAATTTTCTATAAAATATTGACTTTATTTCTGACTTTTTACTCCTATTTATAATTTTAAATTTTTTTATATGTCGTACTCTTGTCGTTCTCGAACCCTGTAATTTTAGAAATTGTCGTTTCCCTTCCCCGTATCAGTGCAGCATAGCATAGAACTACATTTCATGAAATCCGCAGTTGAAATGTAAGATGTTTTATGAATTCTGGTCACGGTCATAACTTATAGCGATTGTGAAATTGTGAAGTTGGTGTCTTGCTTTTTCTTGGCGGTTTGGAACATGCTTGTAATTGCTGCTAGTAAACGGTCCATCCTTTTTCCCTGCAATTTGCTTGTATGGGCACTTCGCAGGTAAACGGTCACCTCAAACCGTGAGGCAAACCTTCAAATGCCAGAAGCAGATAATATCTGGTAACGAACACAGTTCAATAGTTCTTGCATTCACATATAATTATGAGTTTTGAGCTGATATCAGATGGACCTCACTGTTTCGTCTTGAGAAGTTCTTGGAGTGCAAAACCTAACATGACCTTAATGTATTTGACCTTACGTTAAGTCATTTTCATCCACCCGAGATTTAATATTTGCCTGCCTCAAACCTTAATGAAAATAGTCACCATCTCTCGCTCTGTGCTTTCGGTGGAATATTTTGGACCCACCTTAGTATCAGTATCTGCTGTCAAGTTTTCATCTTCCATTCAGTAAACAAATTAATTTCTATCACAGAACACGGTGTGGCCAATGAGTTCTGCCTTCTTTTCGAGTACAAGCCCTTCAATGCAATCCGTCGAATCTGTTGACGAATTACTATCAGTTATTATGATCAGATTCACCCCACATCCACCCTTGTTATACTGCTGTTAAATAGGTACACCGACTAAATATTAAATTATACAGAAGCAGAAGCTTGTTCGGGGAAGTTGGGAATACGAGGAGATTATACAGGTATGCATACACGATATTTGTCTTGAACATTAATTAAACAACCAAATTCAGGTATTCAGGTACGATCGATGTACTGGTACATAGTTAATGCCATAGCTACCAAGTAAAAACATCACTACTAATGATGACATTAGCTACATGCACTTTTTGGTTAAAATGGAACGGAAGATTTCCAAAAGGGTACAGGACAGTGCAAGACGTACGTTCCCGTAACAAAGCATTAAACTGGGCATGACGTGGGGGAAGAAACTGCGACCACCTGTGGCTCTTTCTGGACCTTAGAACATGGGGAAATTAGGGGGGGGGGGGAGAGAGTGTCGTGCCATGGGTGTTAAGGAAGGGTTGGTATAGAAGAGAAAGTTGTTATTATTTAAGTTAAAATTTATGATCTGATTATGAGTATGCTAATAAGTGGTTGTTCGATCTGCTAGCCTAGCTCAAGGACCACCTTTACCAAAGTCCATAAATTTTCATATACCAATAGAACTTCCACAAAAAGAAACTCTTTCTGGTTATTTTCTTGATGCATGATTAAATGCAATTGGAAGAATGATAATATCAGATTCACATGTGCTCAAATTATATCGAACAACCACACGTGCTACTCAAAGTTTTTACTAGTATTTGGGGATTACGTTAGGGACAGGCAATGTCTTCTCTCTTCATCTGCCCGTATCTTTCAACACCACACGGTCCAGTGTGGCCGTTTCTGTGCTCCCAATCTCACCCTTCTTTTTAATTGCTAAGGCGTTTTGTAGAATGCGTGTACATCAAAAAGTATTCTTCAATTTTGGTAAACCAGTTTGCTATAGCACATCGGCAGCTAAGGTTGGGAGTTCCCGACATTCATTGAAACTCCGCACCAATCCCCAAGTAATAAACAACAATAAAACAGACATCAATAGATTCAGAAATTTTTTTAAGATAGATCTAGGTATATTAACAACATAAAAATAAATAGAAACAAATAAAATTTTAAAATAAGTACAACTAATAAAATAAACAATTAATTAAAGAAATCAAATTTTAGAATTTACAATTTCTCAGTCTAAATGTAAGGTGGATCGGCGCTGAAAACAGGGAAGGTTGAAGCACGAGAGATGGACCATGGTGTCCTTCGGGAGGGCAACAGCAAAACAAGTTGGGGGTAATCCCAATGAGGTTGGGTTGAGGGATGTCCTGTTGGCTCACTCGCACAAACCCCAAAAACACCCGTGGTCTGTTCGTTGTCCCCACAAGGCCACAACCTCACATGTCTTTATTTCCATCCTTTTCAAACTCTATTACGGTATTACCTAACCATATAAACATATGTGCATACATATCCCCTCCCTTTCAACCTTCATCACAACTCTCTAAACTCGTCTCTCTTTCTCCAATATTCCTCTCAAATCTAAACCCCCATAATTTTTACGCAAGCAATTATGGCTATCAGGAAATCAAACAAGTTGGGTCAAACAGCAGTTATAAAGCAAATCCTGAAAAGGTGCTCCAGCTTAGGGAAGAAACAAAGCTACGTCGATGAGGAAGGACGACTTCCTTTGGATGTCCCGAAAGGCCATTTTGCGGTGTATGTAGGTGAAAACAGAAGCAGATACATTGTTCCCATCTCTTTCTTGAATCGAACCGAGTTTCAAAGCTTGCTTCATCAAGCTGAGGAAGAATTTGGGTTTGTGCACGAGAGGGGACTAACCATTCCTTGTGAAGAAGATGTTTTCCAGTCTCTGACATCCATGCTCAGCTGATATATATATGAAAAATGCTTTGAGGGAATAATAATACGATTAAGATGAAGCTGCTTCATTGCTTCTCTGGTTCGAAGTATCTCATTGTCTTCTTTTTCGCTTTTTTAACTCTAACACGAAACCCCATAAATATTATTTAATGTATGCGGGTTTTAGACTTGTATATCAACTGCCAATGTACCCTGTGAGGGAAGGGAACTAATATCAAGGATATTTGGCGTTACCCATTGGCTCCCCTATCTTGTTTTCCTTGTATTTTTTTTTATTTTCTTTGCATCTTGGTTCTCGGATGCTCTCTCGATTCTCTCTTTTCAGGATCAGGCACGAGACCGCCAGTTTCCAGGGTTTTGTCTCCTGCTCTTGGGTTCCTTGTTTATTTTATGTTTCTGGTTAACTTAACACTCAACAGTTAAGCCGTTAACGACTGTTAAAATAACTATAACCAACAGACAGACAGATGTCATTGGAATGTTTTGGCAGAGATCATGAAACCAAATTAAAAAGCTAAAAGCAAAGGTAACAACTTGATTTGTTTTGTTACCGCACAAGTTTAGGTTAGCTAGTTTTGATCGATTCTCGTTTCTGGTTTTCCAACTTGCAATCCTAATTGTATGAAGATCATTTGATCTGTACATCTTCTGTTTAAACAAAAATCAGCGTTCAACGTCGATCTATATTGCCCACAAAGAAGAAATCTGGTATATTATATGCATATCTGCTGTTAAGTAATGACTCATGACCTAACGGTTAGGATTGCAGATGAAACTTTGTACAGATATAACACAGTACCACAATGTCAAGATCATATTCTCATGCTTAAGGTGTCCCGTTACAATGCATTCCCCTCGTTTCTGGTCCATCCTCTAAAATATGTAAAATCTCAATATTTTTAAAATTGTTTTATTATATTTGTTGCATTGGACCACCTTTTAAAAATTACTCTACTACCGTGCATTATTGACCAGACACTACGATCCCTAGATGGTAATAGACAGACATCAACCGATGCCACTTTCAAGCTGTTTCTGCCTTTTGACTCTCATTACAGAAGTGAACTGAATTCAATTCTTTTTTATCGATTGGAATTCGATTATTTTGAAAATCATTTTGATGATCAAATATTAATCACTTGAAATTTGAATATATTTAGTAATGGTATAGTTTACTCTTATACGTACTTCTGCAGTGTGGTTGGTTGATGTAAATAGTTTTGTTTATGAGACTAGGCTTCATCTATGCGGTTGGTTGAGTGTTACGGAATTTATTATTATAATACCTAATCATCCATGCAAGTAGGTTAAAATGTTTTGATTTTGTATGTTTTTATGACATGATTTTTTTTATTGTTATGATAGTTTGACGTTTCATGTTGCACTCTAAACGACACATCTCCTGATTAATAAAGGTCGATGATCTTTTATAGTTAGATACCTTTTACGATTGGTTATCGATACGTCCAGAATCGTTCGTGGAGCAACCTATCAGATTGATTCTTTTAATCTTCATGTTAACATCAATATTGTGTCTAGTTTTTTTAAAAAAGAAGAAGAAGAAGATGAGATTATTGATAGTTATTAGATTTTTTAAGAAGAAGAAGCATGTATTCAATGAATGGTTTTGATTTTATTTCCTTCACGTCCTTTGGATTCCATATTAATTTGTGTAGTCTTAATTGTACTTTTTCTTTTTTATTTAATGAAAAATTAATTTTTTTATTTTAAAATTAATTTGATAATTTTTATATAATTTTTATTTTAAATTAATTTGATATTTTTTATAAAATCCTAAGAATCAAATTATAAACTCTATTATAAAATTGCTTTTTTTTCCTGGCATAAATTTTGATTTATTCATAATTTTCTCTCTTTACAAGAATCAAAGACTTGTGGTGATGGCGGGTATAAGATGAAATGGCAGGATTGGCTATCCGAAATGAGGAACTGCAACAAGTTAGGGATATGAGTCTATAAAAGTTTTATACGAACATTTTTTTATGAGTTCTTTTTATGATTCAATTAAAAACTAAGCTATTATATATATATTTTTATTTCATGTGATATGTTTTAGATGAATGAAAAAATCGAAAATCTTTCATGAAATAACGAGTTTCATTTTGAAATTTTCAAAAACGAAACTGAAAAAATATTAAATAAAACAACAACAACAAAACCCTATTCCCATATGTAATGGGGTAAGGGGGTAGGGTAGTAGGCTGCTCCCAACGCCATGTTGAGAGCAGTTTCCGTGGAAGACCTCCGGCAGTCAGAAAATTAAAAATAAAGATAAAATACAATGCATGTATAAATAAATATATAGTTGAACAATCTTTATATACATTCTTCATATGCGCATATGTAATGGGAAGTAATCCCTGCAAATAAATCCCTGCGTAAAAATCTCTGCATATAGACAGAAACGTAAGACCCGACTAAATTTAAAAAGATGGAACATGAAAAGAATGATACACATAAATCAACGATAGCAAGCTACGAGAAGGAATAAAGTCAGTTGGTAGAGCGCTAGGCTCTTAACCTTGTGGTCGTGGGATCGAGTTCTACGGTGGGCAATTCATGATTCTGACTGCCGGAGGTTTTCCACGAAAGCTGCTCTCAACCTGGCGTTGGGGGCAGTCTACTACCTTACTTCCCCCTCACCCCATTACATATGGGAATAGAGTCAACTAATATTAAATAAAACATATATATATATATATATATATATATATATGGGTGTGTATATATATAATTTAAGAAGTGTTCAAAAAATATAAGATCAAAATAATTAAAGAAAATGCTATTTTTCAGTTCAAATTAAGAGAATATGCAAGTAAAAGGAGGAGTTTCAAAATTCAATCATAATGACGTGGATAAATAAAGGCCTTGTAAACCTAGATTTAGAAACAAAGTTTGCGTGGATGGCTGATATTATTTTGGTGGATCCATCGCCGCCGCCACATTGTTTTGATGTTGGCTTCTCCCCTCGATGTTGTAATTATTTCACTGATTTCTGTTGTGTTTCTAAAAGTATTCTAAAATTGTAGCAAGTCAGAGCTTTAGGGCAGGGAAAGGCAGCCACTTAAGTTGGGAGGTGGGCAGCACTGTATCCTGCAGGTGTAGGCCTGACATGCTGTGTAATTGGTTCAACGATATGTAGGATTTTTGAAGGGTTTTTTTTTCATCCATCCATCCATACACCATGGAAAAAGCCTCCCATTCCTACCAACAAGGATGGTTCAAAAACATCCTTCCAACAAAATATCTTGCGAGGAAACGGAACATGCCTTATTCTAAGTCTGTGTCCTCCTATTGGTGGATATATGATTGTTTCGACCAACACAAAGAAAAGGCCTTTGTTGGGGTTGCTGCACTTTTCTGTCTCCCGGAATTGGAGTGTTCTAATTAACAGCTCAAAGATTGAAAACAAGCAGGCATATGTGTATGATACATCCATGGCAGGATTAAGATTCTAATACTTAACAATGTACTTTTTAAAACTAAATGAAAGCGATCAAAACCAAAACAAGTTTGAATAAATACTTGTTGGTTGCACGCCTGCTTTTGCTTCTTTCTTTCCTTCTTTTTTTGCACTTTACGGAGTTTCGGTGCAAGTTGTCTATGCCCATTGGCCGTTGCTTTAGCTGTCAACAATTGAGCAATGCTGAACTGGAATCTTGAAGTGCGAGCCCAAGAGGACAGACGGGGACGGAATCTCTCTCATCCATGGATTATCCGACTCATTTGGGTTTGCAATAAAGCTTACTAAATCTTCGTATTAATTGTCTGTTAACACTTTTGTCGACAAAACACTTCATAAATTTGACTGGAAGGCGGGATAATAATGGAGTCTCTCTGTCGATGAAGACACAATTTAGAGAAAAAAAAGGGTTAAATACATAATTGATCAATTTTGTTTATGTTTTATCTAACTTTTGTCACTGAATTCAAAAAACATAATATTTAGTCATTTTCTTTTTTATTTAATTAAGATGTAATTACTTTCGTTTCTATTTAACTAAGATGTGGTCAACTGAGAGTTAATTATCATTAGATTTTTGAAGGATTGATGATGCGTTACGATGAATATAAAATTAAAAAGGTTAAACTATATAAACAGTCACTAATATTTGAGTAAATTTTTGTTTTACCACTAAAATTTTAAAATTAACAAATTGGTCACTAAATCATCAAATAATTTCTTATGATTCTTCTATTATCTATCTCCGTCATCTATTAACCTAGAAAAATGGGTTATAGAAATTTGATGAAGTATTTCATAATGATGGAGACAAGAATTCAAGGGTGGGAAAGTTTGAAAAATTTTCAATTCAAAGGTGTATTTTCTTTCTTTCTTTTTCATGACTTATATTTTTCTGGGCATTCGGGGATGAAGAAACCTCTTAGAGGGACATATATCAGAAAATGGTGTCGATCAATTTTTTATTTTAAAAACTTTAGCAGAAAAATAAAAATTTATTCAAATATTAATTACCATTTGTATAGTTTACCCTTTTTAATTTTATATATTTTCTGTCAAATCAACAATTTGTTAAAAGAAAACTAACTCTCAATGACTACATCTTAATCAAATAAAAACGAAATTGATTATATTATGTTTTTTAAAATCAATTAATAAAATTGGACAAAACATAAACGAAAGTGATTAATTATATAGTTAACCCAGAAAAAAATTATATGTTTCACTTCTCAGTTCTTTTGTTGCTTAAAATCATCAAACGAAATAATATTTTAAATAGGATAAATTATTCCTTTTACTACGTTTTAGTACTTAAATTTTATTTATTTTAAAAAAATTTACTTAATGTTTAGTTTAGATTTCATTATGATACTCCCACCATTAAAAAATTAACATAAGCATTTGTTTTTTGTAATGATGATACATCATCATTATTAAATTTTTGACAATGAGATACCAAAATGAAATATAAACTAAATGTTAGATGTAATTTTTGAACAAAATAAAGTTTAGATAATATGATTTTGAAATAAAATATAAAAACAAAACAAAAGTGATAGTTTGGGTTATAAACTTGGAGTTTACCCTTTTAAATATTATGGTTTAATAAAGAGAAAATAACCTCAGTGACCAAAAATGCCTTATAATATACGATTTTAACCAACTTTTTTTGGATTTGCCAAAATGACCAACTAAATCGCAATGCGATTGATAATTCGCAACGCGATCTCCGGTATCGCAAATCAGTTTCCAGATTCACAACGCGAACTTCGACTATCGCATTGCGATTTACATATTCGCATTGCGATAGTCGAAGTTCGCGTTGCGATTTATTCCAAGTTCGTTGCGATAGTCGAAGTTCGCGTTGCGATTTATTCCAAATTCGTTGTGATAGTCCAAGTTCGTTGCGATAGTCCAAAATCGCAATGACGGTATTGCATTTGTTTCTTAAGAATTTTCTCTAAAAAGATAGTATTCGCGCGGACGTGTCGAAGACACGTATTACCACGACCACGGGACGGGACGGCGGCGCCGGCGGCGAGCGAGAGTCCCCCTTGTTCTCTATCACTCAACAAGGAAGTGGGAAAACCAAGCCTTAAATACCATTCCCAATAGTGTTTCCAATACTATGTGGGATTGAGCATTACCAACACTTGTTCCCAATACTATGTGGGATTGAGCCTTAAATAGTAATATTATTTTTGAATGTTTTGCTTAAAATTGCAATAATCGCGATTGATTGTAGATTGACTTTTAATTATGGCATATTTAATCGTATAATACTAATGCAATTGGTTGTTGATTCAGTTGTTTTAAGGTGCATGATTGTTAATTGTTTCCTGAATAATCACATTGTATTGGAAACAAGTGTTGATAATGTTCAATCCCACATAGTATTGGAAACACTATTGAGAATGGTATTTAAGGCTTGGCTTTCCCACTTCCTTGTTGAGTGATAGAGAACAAGGGGGACTCTCGCGCGCCGCCGCCGTCTCGTTTCGTCGTGGTCGTGGTCGTGGTAATACGTGTCTTCGACACGTCCACGCGAATACTATCTTTTTAGAGAAAATTCTTAAGAAACAAATGCAATACCACCAGTCGTTGCGATTTTGGACTATCGCAACGCGAACTTCGACTATCGCAATGCGAATATGTAAATCGTAACGCGAACTTCGACTATCGCAATGCGAACTTGGACTATCGCAACGCGAACTTGGACTATCGCAACGCGAACTTCGGCTATCGCATTACGATTTACAAGTTCGCATTGCGATAGTCCAAGTTCGCATTGTGATAGTCGACTATCGCATTGCGATTTACATATTCGCATTACGATAGTCGAAGTTCGCGTTGCGATAGTCCAAGTTCGCATTGCGCTAGTTGACTATCGCATTGCGATTTACATATTCGCATTGTGATAGTCGAAGTTCGCATTGCGATAGTCGAAGTTCGTGTTGCGAATCTGGAAACTATTTTGCGATACCGGAAATCGCGTTGCGAATTATCGATCGCATTGCGATTTAGTTGGTCATTTTGGTAAATCCAAAAAAAGTTGGTTAAAATCGTATATTATAAGGCATTTTTGGTCAATGAGGTTATTTTCTCTTGAATAAAACCTCAAACTCAAAGCTATCACACATTCAATAAACAATTACACTGAGAAATTGAAGAGTTAGAAGGGCTAAACTCTCGAGATAACGTTCTCGAACAAATTATTTCACGAGATAATGCTCTCCCAAGATTAATTGCTCAAATAGGGTGAAATCCAGTGTTGGCCGTAAGTCGCCCTTCCGGGCGACCTACTACGTGGCCAACCATGCACGTCCCCAAGCATAGGTCGCCATGCCCTCCGGGCGACCTTGTAGGTCGCCATGTACTCCGGGCAATCTTGTAGGTCGCCATGCACTCCTGGCGACCTTGTAGGTCGCCATGCACTCCCTCCTGCTCCTCGCGTGATTCCTCTTGCCCTCGGATGCCCTCGCATAGCTCGCTCGGATGGCCTCGGTCGGATGCTCTCGGTCGAATGGCCTCGGATGCTCAGCGTGTTGGAACGTGCATGACACATGCAATCTCTCTCATAGCTTGCTGGGAAGACATGACGACCTAGTAGGTCGCCCGGATGACATGGCGACCTATGGTCAACACTGTAGATTTCATCCTATTTGAGCAATTAATCTTGAGAGAACATTATCTCGTGAAATAATTTGTTCGAGAACGTTATCTCGAGAGTTTAGCCTTAAAAGAAGAACAATAATAACACGGAACCTAAGAAACGATTTCAATTCCTCCAACTATTTATCAAGAGACCTCTTGGATCAACGAGTTTTATGCCAATAATTCTCAGGATTAATGACTATTCTTCCCTTTGGAGGAAAAGAATCTGGTAAAGCCTCGTGAATGTTTCTCCGGAGTTGGGGTAGAAGACAAAGATGAAGGGCTTGACATTGTAGGCCTGGGTTCTGATCTCGAAGGACTTGCTTCCGTGACGGATGGGCTGCTGAATGACTGCCCGGGGGACTCTGCCCCGTTTGTGCTTCCAATGCCAGAAGCAGCAGCAACACTGTCCATCTTTTTCTGATTTAAATCCTGAAAGTTGATGCCACTGGTAGAGGTATCATCGTTGTCGAAACTTTCACCCTTTTGGCTTCTCTCATCGTAGGGTGATCCCAATACATCCGTCTGAGGACGGAAAGCTTTCAACTGTTTGCCGAGAAGGAATATGGTTCCTTGACATTCTGCTAGTTTCTCAGCTAATTCTTTCTCCTGTGGAAAAAATTTACAACTTAAGAGGAGGAATGACTTGTACTAAAGCAGAAAATTAAGTGATGGAAAACAGAATATTAAGGGGAAGAAAAACAAATATAGCCTCACCTGCTTGCTCTTGAGGTCATTATCTGCTGCTGAAGAACATACAGAACACTTCTCTTTCCTAAAACCGATTGAAAACAGTTACGTTAGACATGATTTTACATAAATAAACTGTCCCGTATACTCGGTCTCACACAGCAATTAGTTGGTAGTAACTCTACATCGTACCAAAAAGAATCCAATGCTTACCTTTGCAATTGCTCTTCTAGCTCCTTACATCTGGCAAAAGCATCATGATGACATCTCTTTTCATCTTGAAGCTCATTTTCCAGAGCTTCTGTTTTTACCTGGAGAAGGTTCACCTCGGTCTCCAACTCATTTGCACGTTTTTCTAGTGATCTATAAGATTCCGTCATGCACTTGAGCTGTGTCTCAGCCAAGCTGTTTGACCTTTCAGCATTAACCAATTGAGATTTAGCTTCTGCTAGAAGCTGCTTGGTTTCATGTAATTGAGAATTGGTCATCTCCAGATTTTCAGCGCATCGAGAAAGATCCGTTGCCATGTTTTCTTTCTCCAACTTCAATTCCTTGAACTCTTCAAAAGAGAATTCATTCGATTGTTTTGGTTGATATTCCAAGGCCATGTTTCCATCATCAGGAACCTCCGGATTGGATGGATTTGAAATGCGGGCACTGTTATTTTGATAGCTTCCACCTGATGAATCCTTTGGGTTTACCTTTTTCTCTGGTAACGCAACCTTATCAATGCAATCAGGACTACTAATTTCCACTTCATTACCCTCGTAGCCAAGCACATTAAATCTTAGTTCACTGGCTTTGGCTAAAACAGCAGAAAGGTCAAACACGAAATCATCTACACACACTTTGCTGCTAAAGGCCTTACCGTAGGTAACCAAGAACTCATCAATTTTGTAGTTTAATCCCTTACCATCAGAAGATATGTCATCAATTGCCCTCGCTTGTTTTCCCAAGAATCGTACAAAGTCATGAATATGAGAAAATGCAATAGCTAATTCTTGACTCATAGTACCAAAAGTCACCTTATCACCTGGGGACAAGGGAATTTTTTTCTCTTCAGTTAAGCTACCATCTCCGAGATAGTCCTGCCCATTGCATGTGCCATCAGATACATCATTAACATAGTGCTGATTCAGGGTTTCACTTGCATAGTGCACAGCACGTTTGATGTCCTCCACAATTTTACGCATATCAGCATCTCTAGACGTTGATTGAAGAACCTGTAAGAGCCTTGCTCGAAGCTTCGAGACAGACAATTTGTCTGCGTCTGGTATATGATTTGTTGGTGGTGATGGATCATGCAGCTTTTCATATTCCTTGAAAGAGATCTCTCCTGAAGCATCACCATCAACAGTTTCAGATATCTTATCATTGGTACACCCTGAAATAATGATTGCACCATTTGCAGATGGATCATTTGAAGAACTAGCCAACTTCTCCATCTCAAGAAAATCGTCCATAAGGTCCAGGTGCATCGCACTATCAGTTTTGTTCGACCTTTCAGTGGTATTTTCTTTCTTAAATTGAGAGACTCCAGATATCAAAGCTATAGCCGACGATTCGGAACAGCTTATGTCATCCTGGTTTCCATATTCAGACAAAGAAGTCATACTTGGCGGATTGCTAGCGATTTGACTAGAGTAAACTTCTGTAGGAATCTGAACAATTGCTTTTGAGGGACTTCTTTGTTGGTTGTTAATGGCAAGTTGTGCTTCTAAAGTTTGGAGCTTGCTAGATGTCTTCGCACACAGATTCCTAGAAGCCAATAGTTCACTGTTAAGTATTGCCAAAGCTTCTTTCAGCATCTTTGTTTCTTCCTCCATTGCCAATATATGTTCTGCAAAACACTCATGCTCTTTATGGGATTTCTGTGCATTGTCAAAGGAAAAATCTGTCACTGTGGACAGGTGTGGAGTAGAATGCCGGAGAGGAGACCTCTTGAATCGAGTATCTCCATAATCCCGTTCAAAACTCTCAACCTCTAACTTCATTTGGGCAAGTGCAGCAGGGCCCGGCAGCTTTTTCCGCACAAGACCACGTAGTCTTTGGCACTCTGCTTCTAGCTTTGCTATCTTTTTGACACCCTCCTTATGCTGCTTGTTTGCAGCTTCTGCGGACCTCATGCTCATATTCTTTTCTTCATTACGAATTTCTAGCTCTTTGGAAAGTACATGAATCTCATACCTGAGCGAATTTATTTCCCTTTCACACGAGTCAATGTTACCCTTCAAAAGCTCGATCTCAGCCTCAGCTCGTGACTTTTCTTCACTAATCTTGATCAGCGTGCTAGAACGTTCTTGCAGAGACCTTGAAATTGCATCATTGTCAGCTTCAACCTTGAGGAGCTCTTGGTCTAAATTAGCTATCTTAGCTTCAAGCTCAAGCTTAATCTTTTCGCACTGCTTGTTTTTGCTAAGAACCACATCTTGCAATTTCTGCTCGTGTTCTTCCTTCAGATTACGGATTTGCCACATGCACTCTTTAAGAGCATCATCCAAATGTGATGCCTTATCTTCAGCAGTGAGCTTTGAAAGGGTAACAGATTCAAGATGATTTTTCAATTCCAACGCCTCTGCTTCAGCCTTTTCCCAACCTACATCAAAACCAGCACCACATGTAGAGAGAAAACGCCGGATTAATCGGAGGTACCTTAGTCTTACATTAGATCATTAGACTCGGAACATTTGAACGTATACTAACCCGAGACAGCTTCTTCTGCAACTTTAGTGTGCTGTTTCACCAGGTCTTCCTTGGCAGTGATCTCTGAATTGGCCGCAGAAAGTTTTTCATTCAAGTCATTTATCTCATTCTCCAACGCCTGAACTTGTTCCTCGTATGTTTTCACTTGATTTTCCAAGCCAGTAAGACACGAATACGATTCTACGGAATTTTGAACATACTTTGGTTTTTGTAAGGAATCCTATTAAAAAAAACCACAAAATTGATGTAAGATAAAATAGCTCAACGGTTAGACCATAAGCAGATCCAAATGTGTGCTCCAATTGAGATAATGTACTATGAATTAAAAGCCCTGAAAATTCTCAGAACAACCATGTGTTGACGTGTTTTAGTTAGGTGGGAAAAAGTACCTGATCGCCATGGGATGCAGCTGGAGATAAAGTGGCAGCGTTATCAGATGATTTTTTCTTCCAAGGCCAACGGCGATCCATTGCTGAGAGAAGACGACCGAATGATTCGTTAAGAAAAATATGCAGTGAATCAAACTGAGACATTTACATCTTAACTCCAAGTTAAGCGGTTATAGCGAAAAAGTAGAGACATGGCAGCCTTTCTCCGACCAAAAACCCATAACATATGACTAAAGGCTACATATTGCAGCCACCTGATTTAGGTCAGGTTAGGAATACTACTCTTGAAAGGATTTCCGGACCCAAATGGAAATAATTCTCACATCAATTTCAATTGCCTTAAAGGGTCATTCAAAGATCATAGACAGAAACAATGTCTGATTTGCCTCATATATTCAGTCTGGAATTGGACAACACACAAGAGTTTGAGCAAACCAAATGTCTTCACTGTTCGGATTTCAATTATTTTTTCTGGTTTAAAATTTACTTTGATCCTACATTTCCTGAGCAACCAAACAAAACATAAAGCCGGGGTAAAAAAGGCTTGCGACTACAAAATTCTCAAAGCAGGAGTTTGCAGCGATTGGAACTTATACAAAGGGAAAGGCATAGAATAAACGAATGGAGTCATATCCAATACCTTATGTATGATAAACTTAAGGCCAATGCTTTGGACTGAAAGTTTCAAACAAGTAAGATCCTTTGAATCAGATGAGAAGGTATTTTCAAGCCAGACAAGTTCATCATTTCAAATGTGTAAGATTAAATCAAAGAGGTAAAGATGTTAGAACCAAAACGTGTTTCATAATAATTAAAGGATATAAATTCCGATTGAAAACATAGAAGCAAAAGAAAGAAAGAACTGAAAGCAAAGGAAATTACTTAGTGTATTTAGATTTGAAGGAATGGAGCTGAGGAAAAGAGTGATCAAATCCTGGAACTGGAACAAGTAATAACAGAATATAGAAAAGGCTTGAAATGGAAGAAATCCGGAAACAAGAAACTTCACCGACAGAAAAGATAAAATAACAATATCAAAGGAAACATTGTACTCTGCATAAAACTGACAACTGTCTTCCGATCGAAAAACCAAACAAAAACAAACTTACTGCGCAAGTTTAAAAAAAAAAGTCCAATTTCCCTTCACTCAACTCTCCACGCTCTCACCACCAACATTCATAGTTAAACAAAACAAATCAACCCAGCGAATTAAAAAAAAACAAAGAAGAGAACAGAACTTTGAGAAATTCAGCTTTCCACAGGATGGTTGAACATTAACGTTACGAGAAACAGAGAGAAATGGCAGCAAATGGTAGGGGAACTGGTGATGTGGTGGAAAAATATTCTGGATTAAGGTGTCTTTTTGCAAAAATTCCGAAATCAATCAACTTTTTTTCTCTTTTTCCTCAACATGGAGAATATTTGGATATTTTTGAAGTTAAAAAAATGACTGTACACTTTGTTGATATGAAACCGGTTTCCATTTGTGTTTTTAGATTATGGATGTAGTCTTGTAGATAATTTTGGGACCATAGTGAAGTCGATTAGACGATATTACCCATACAGGAAGTTTCTATTCTCTCGTGGGATCTGAGCAGTCAGGGACCACGCTCCTCTCTTTTTGATAATCCATACATCCCTTATCAATGTATAGACAGCGCTACCTCTTGAGCACAGGTTTAGATTAGACCTCGATCAAAAAATAAAATGGAGCACCTAACAATGTATCTTCACAGACGTAGAACTACGAGATCGTCCCTTTCATTTTGGGGTGGCGGAGGGATCGTACCATTCGAGCTTTTTTTTTTTTATACTTTTCCCTGAGGTCTAGAGAAAAATACAATCAATAAGTCTCTCGAGCCTCCCTTCCCGAAAGGAAAAACATGAATTTATTTTTCTTTTCTGCAGGGACTAGGAGATTGGATCTAGCCATAAGAAGAATGCTTAGCTGATAAATAATTCAACATGTTTAACTACGATTTGTAATAATCAATTTTTCCTAAAAAAATAATTGTATTAAAACATTCAGAATTGAATTTAAAAAAATAAATTCAATATTTTAAATGCAAAATTATGATAATATCACCTCAGCCTAAAATAAATATTTTAAAATATTATACAATAAAATATTACAAACATATTTAATTATTATATATTGAATTATAATTTAAAATTTTAAAGTTACATGTAATATAATCACTAGCGTAAGTATATATAAGAAATATTTTTGACATAATATATAATATATATTTGAATACTATCAGCATAATTAATCATTATAGAAAACAATTGAATTAATAAAAAAAATTATCTAGATAAGAATTATATGATAGGACTTAAACTATAATAAAAGAGAAGAGTGATTATTTACTTAAATTTATCATTTTTAATTAATATAATTAACGAATCATATTTTATGCATGAATCAACTTATCTCAGTGGTTAAAGGAATTATTGTTGTTTTTAGAGGTCATGAGTTCGAGCACTAGCAATTGTAATAGGGATGATTGAATATTTATTGTCAAATAGTTGAGAGTAATTATAACATATATTACTATGTAATCATATTTTATGATTTTAATTTCATTTAATTTTTAATTTTTAAATAAATAAATTTATTCATATTTAAGAAATTAATTTATCATTTTGGAATACTTTTATTTTTTTTATTTACTTGTTTGAAAGGGTTATAAAATAATACATATTCAAAATCTTTTTAGTCATTAGCAACCCAAATAAATCCTGTAAATAAGGTTATTTAAACTTAATTTTTTTAAAAATTAACAATTCTTTTTCATTGATGTCCCTTTATGAGTTCTTAATTTAATAATTTTTATAACTTTTAAATATATGTAAGCACTGGCGGATGCATGTACATCCTAAAATTTTACTAGTTGTTCATTTTACTGAAGGTGTCAACCCTAAAATTTTATTATACTGACCATGGAATCCAAATTTCTTTATATTAGTTATTCATTTTACTGAAGGTGTCCACCTTAAATTTTTTTTTTTGTGTCTGCTCCATACAAAATATTTTTAATATTAATGCATATGTGACCACCCTGAAAAATATTTTTGGATCACCACTGTATGTAAGAATTATTTTTTTGGAAATTTACAAAATACATATAAAATTTTCAAATACTTGTTATTGATAAGGATCAATTGTGTATTTGAAAACAATCAAGTATTCAAATGTATTTTAAAAACATTGTAATTTGATTTATTAGAATTATTAATTTCTACACAATCTGAACTTCAAAAAAAATCTAAGTAACTTTATTAATTTAATTTGGTTATTTTAAACTTTATAAAATTCATATCATTGTTTTTAATTTAATTTTTTTTATTTTAATCAAATTTATATTAGAAACTCATAAAAAACTTATATTTCTCAGGGTTCAATCCGGTGATTAAACTAATGTCTCTTAACTAGGGATGGATATGGGTAGGGTGGGGTTGGATTTTTGTTCCACCCGAAATCCGAAACCCGAGAACAATGATTCATCCATCCGAAATCCGACCTGACCCGCACAATATATACCTTCCACCCGACCCTACCCGACTCAACTTTTTCAAATAAAATCCAAACCCGACCCGACTCAAAATAATAAAAATATTATTTTATTCAATAAAAATAGTTATTTAATTGAAAAATAATAATATATATAGGGGTATTATTATAATTATTCTTAAATATATAAGGTAAAATTATATTTTTTGGGTCGGGTCAGGTATTTTTCACCCTAAACCCGAATCTGACCCGACCCGAACACTATCTTTAAAAAATCTTGACCTGAACCCCATTTTTTTAACAAACCTGACCCGACTCGGATAGGGTTGAAACCCGTCAGGTTCAGGTCTCATTCCCATCCCTACGTGTAACGTTGAAATTCAATTATCGAAACAATTAATAACAAGGGAAAATTAATGTAAAAATATAACTTTGGAATGAAAATTTCGTATAATATAATTTGGGTAAACTATGTGTCTAGTACTTAAACTATCAGTTTTATTCCAGCTTAGTACTTAAGCTTTTAAAATTTTTAAAATTACTCTTAATGTTTAGTTTTGTTTCTTTTTGGCACCCGTTAAAAATTTAACGTTAAGTTTTGATTTTTTTTATTGAAAATTTAGATACTAAAACCGACAAGAACTGATAGTTTAGGTATTAAATGTTAAATTTGTAATGATAGAGTATTAAAATAAAATGCAAACTAAACATTGGATATGATTTTGAAAAATTAAAAGTTTAAATACTAAAACGAACAAAAAGTTTAGGTAGTAAACACTGAATTTACCCTATAATTTTGGAATAAAGAATACGATGGGCAATGAGTGATAAGGTAAATGTGTCCTGAAACCCAAATTTAATCAAAAGCAAAGCTCAATTGAAGTCACGTGCAAATTTTTTCTTTTATTTTTTTTGGAATTGTTTCAAAATTCTATTAATGAGAAAATTACATACCAACTCTTTATTGAATCAACAAAAACTTTAAATAAAAGTAATACTTTTTTTCTTTAATGGTAAATGGTGATTTGTCAGTCTCATTATTGAAGTTGTGCCTCCTCGTCTTTCACAAGTCTCATTACATGCAAGGGGTTGCATTGCATTTTAAAACACAAGAGCTAATTAATATATATTTTACGTGATAATAACGCTAATATACTTTTTTACTCTATTAAAATTGTTACTATTTAATTTTAGTGATCAACTTTTTAATTTTAACTATAATTATAAAATATACATTTAAAAATACTTACTTTAAAGTTTTAAAATATTTTTGACATATTTAAAATATATTTTAAAGTTCCTGTCGATAGTAAATTTTAAATAATAAAATATATTATAAAAACCTTGATAAATGACAATTTTAATGAGATGAATAAAATAGTTATGAATTAATCATCTCGCTGATATTAAAGCCAAATAGCTAACAACGTAGGTAGGAGAAAATAAAGAATGGGAAATAGAGAATAATATGTATAATTTGGGCAAGAACTCTGATTTTTGGACTATGGAGGCTAGGATCAATACAAGCTGGAGCTTTTGCAAATTGCTAAGTATGAGGAATCAAGCTGCCTCCATTTTTGCTTTTGGAACACAATCAATCAAAGACATATGGCATCACATTCGTAACAAAGATGATAAGGTTACTTGGCATAAGCTATTCTGGCTTCCTCTTCATGTTCCTAAGTATAATATTATTACTTGGATGGCTTTTCTTGACAGATTACCAACTAAAGATAGGTTGATTCGAATGGGGTTCAACATTGACGGTATCTGTGTGCTTTGTAATGAGGAGATGGAAACTAGAGACCACTTGTTTCTACATTGTACTGTGGCAAATTCGGTATGGAGTTCTGTTTTGAATCTTAATGGCATTTGCAGAGGAACTTGTTCGTGGAGTGCTCGCATTTCATGGGCTTTTGCTTCCTGGAAAGGAAAATCATTGCTCACTGCTATTATGAAGCTAGCTTGGACTACTTTTACTTACATTATTTGGGAGGAGAGGAACAAGAGAATTTACCAAAGACGTTCAAGAAATGTTAATGCCTTACTCCTTGCTATTAAAGATTCTGTTGGTATTCAACTTAAGAGTAGGGAAATAAATAGAAATGACTATGTCAATAGTGCTCTTTGTATTCAATGGGGGTATTGAACATTGATATTTATGTTCTGATGTATAGTGTTGTAAGTATAGATTTTTTTTGTAAGAACATGTTGTATTTTGAAGCAGATTCCTACTCTTTTGGATATAAAATTGATTTATCAAAAAAAAAAAATAAAGAGGAAGGGATATAATTTTGGGTCGTTTTGTGCTATTGACTTTTATCCCTTCTTTTGTTTGCGTCGTGTACATTGGAAAGCGAAAGCTAAAAATTTAAATATTTATATTATTAATAATGTCTTTTTATTAAACTATTGTAATTAATTAATTTAATGTTAATTCAGTTAAAATTTTGAAATATCGTTCATTATAAATTATTATTATTATTATAATCACTATAAATCATTTGAGTCTTCTTTCAATTCGAGTTTCCATTTCATGTTTTGAATGATTCAATTTTTTAACTAGATTTAAGTAAATATATTTATAAAGTATACGCACATTATGAGTAATGGTATATCATAATCACTATAAACTATTTTAAGAAAATGTCATAATTTAAAACAACGTAACGGTATGCTTTGATGCGGTGGTTTTCTCCCAAAGGAATGCAGTGGATGTCCTCACAAAGAATTAATGTAAGGATTAAGCAAAGTCTGGGTGTTTTAATAGTTCATTTACTTTTTTTAACTTTTCACTGATCTGTTGAAGCAGAAGCATGACCCACTTGTTTTATAGTACATTATTCAGCAAATTCTTATCTCTCAATCAATTCCGAGAAAAGTTTCCACTTAGAATTGCCATTGAAATAATAAACCAACCACTGAATTCTTAATGAAGCAGCTTACTACCTCAAAATATGTAATATTATCTGAAAATGCTTTTTCTAATTCATGAAGGAAAGAAGGGCTCAAGGGCACAACCATAAACGTCATGTCCAGCATAATTTAACAAAATTATATGTATGGCATGCAATAAAAACAACTGTTACGATACATAATTACTACCTTAGTGGGAATTTTCAAAACCCTTTTGTATTTCTGTGAATGGGAATAGGATGAAGAACAATACCACTTGACTTTACCAGCGGACCCACATCTTCCCACACTATATATATTGACAGCTTTATTGCACCTCTCTACCCTCTCTCCTTTCTGTAAAAGCTTAAATTGATTTCTCTTTGGATTCTGTATTTCTCAAGTTATCACCTGGACTTTTCTCTCTCTTTTTGGGCTATCATCATCCCTACTTAACCATATACAGGGTGGTTATCATTATCGTCATCTCGGATGCTTCCTTTCGATTGTTATTAAATTTTGTCTTATTAACCTGCTGCTTTCGGTGCAGGTTATTCTCCCTGAAGATTTAGTTACTATTTACAGGAAAGACCTGACGAATTCAAGCTTGAAGTTATTAGTCTTCACTACGTACTTTTGTTTCCTATATACACCATTACGGTGTTGTAATAATTTATGCATTATCGGTAAAATTTTAAATAAAAATTATAGAACTTTTTTGCTCTATGATTACCTGAAAATATTGCCCGTTTGAGTACAAATAAAACAATCAAGGATCACAGTTAACGGTATAGAATTGGATTTTCAAAACTCTTGCTTTCATGTAATAGTGAGAAAAAGGTTGTCCGTGAGTTTTCTGCAACATAGAATCTGGAGGCAGCGTGCGTTGTGAGAAGCCATGAGCTTTTCCTAGTCACGTATTCACTTTTACTATGTCGTTCAAGTATTGTTAGCCATTCGATGGTGGGATGTTTTCGTTTCCTTCTCAACCAAAAATAGCAGAATATCATTGCAAATTATAGAGGTGGGTCACTCATGTTATTGTTAATCAAAGCCAATTATATCACTTCTTTATCACCATCGTTCTTTCCTAGTAATAATAACGCTTTTAACGTCTTCTTTGCTTTAGGTGCAAAAGTTTTGAGGTGATAAACTGATATTGGCATGGAAAGATTATTTTGATGATGGGAAATCATCATTAGAGAAACTATTATTAATATTAAAATTTACTTAAGAAGTAACAAAAGTAATTAATAACCTCCGAACAAACCAAGTTCGGTAACCAATTAAAGGCAAAAGGAATTCGATTTACATGAACGTATTATTTTTAAAAAAAATCCTTGCTTTGGAGACTTCCTTGCTTTGCTGAAAATATAAACAGTAATTAAAAAGAACAGATTCGTAAACCGTGTCGTGGTATAACCACTGTCTTAGAAACGAATTCGCCCCGATGTGTGTAATCGCTGCAGTAGGTGGACCGTCCCCCGAGGTTAACACGGTCGCTCCGAATTCCGTACACCCGAAATCGGAGTGGATTGCCGGTGATATTGCTCTTCTTTTCGAAAAGCGCAGAAAGAATAATTGCAGAAAACACTTTGAGAGTGAATTGTGAATTTTGAGAGTGAATTGAGAAGCTGAATATAGCCCTCTATTTATAGGCTAGAAATAGAGTTAAAATCGTCCATAAAATTTCAGGATTAAATCTCTTCTTTTGTAACAGCTGAAACGTCTTAGATGAACCTGGCTCAAAAATAGTCCAGGTTCATTGCATCATTTTTCAGCCGTTATAACTCCCGAAATTATATCATGTAACCCTTGGAATTAAATCAAATAACTCTTGTAACTCCTGATATTAACAGCTTGTCCCCTCTGTACAAAGCTAGAAATCAGTCCAAATACATCTTAACGTTTTTTGATTTAATTTAGGAAAAGCTGTTTAATTTCTGATAACTCTCATAAACCAGCTGTTATCATTTTAATTTAAACAGTCCTCAGCAGCCTATAAATATCAGTTGAAATCTTTCACATTTTTCCATTTGTTTCTTTCAAAGAGAAATTCCTCAAGAATTTTCTCTAAAAAGATAGTAGCTGCACGGACGTGTTGAAGAAACGTATTACCACGACCACGACCACGAGCCGTGCCGAGCTGAGACGAGACGGACGGCGGTGGCGGCGGTACACGAGAGTCTCCCTTGTTCTCTTTCACTCAACAAGGAAGTGGGAATTCCATACTATAAACACTCATTCCCAATAGTGTTTTCAATACTATGTGGGATTGAGCATTATCAACATTCCCCCACTAATGCGAAAGAATTCTTCTGAAACTCGAAAACAAACTTTCCAGAAGAGCAATAGCGAGATTAGTTGCTTAAGCACTAGTGAACGTATCTGGAACTAGTACATAGTGATGATGAGCAATCATTCTCTTAGATAAGTGAAACTAGTCTGAAACTTTCTAAGATGGGGGTAAACTCATAGCACACAACCAACCCCTTCATCCACCTAAGTCCTCGATGTGTAAGATATATATATACAAAAGTATATATTTGGCCATCTTACCTCAGGATTCTAGTAAGTGTGCTAGAAAAATGGCCCAACATTTTTCATAGAAGGCGGCTAACCCTTCTCACTTACATAGGTTATCTCATCAAGTTTATCTCGATATAAACCACCCTTAACAGGAATATGAAATAATTAAGAGCTTTTATAAAAGCTCAACCTCACAAAGGGTAATGGTGACTTTCTTCAAGTTCATTATAAATGAACCACCCAAACTCTGGGCTAAGAGTCATTAAGAATAAATATTCAACCTCATTTATCAGTAAATTCAATAAGTCCTTCTCACTAGAACCATCCAAATACTTGGATTTGAATTTATTAAGGGTTTAACAAACTCAACCTTTCTGTCGGTAAGTTCATCATTTCTTACCTACTCACTATGGGTTATGAACTTATTAAGAATATATATTCAGCCAAAATCGGTAAATTTATCAAGTCTTTCTCACTAAGACCACCCAAAGCCTGAGGTATGAATTTATTAAGAGCAATTAAGCTCATCCTGGGCATGCACATTATTCATCATAGGGATAGGCAGTAGGAATGTGCACTACGAGTCTTTCCATGGTTTCGTTTGACCTCATGGAACTTAGATAACTAAGTTGGGTATCCTCCATGAATTCCTCAACCAATGGGCTTTAGACCCATCCCCTCGACGAATCTAGGACCAGCTTCCGACTTAACCCTTTGGTAAGCGAATCTGCTAGGTTCCTTTCTGACTTCACATACTCTAAAGAGAGCACTCTATTCTTTATTAAGTGTCTGACTGATTCATGTCTTATACGAATGTGTCTTTTCTTACCATTGTAAGCTTGGTTCTTAGCCACACATATCACAACCTGTGAATCACACAATAATGAAACCGGAGGAGTCGGTCTTCCCTACAACGGAATATATGCTAACAAGCTTCTGAGCCACTCGGCTTCTTGCCCAGCTAGGTCAAGAGCTATAAACTCTGACTCCATGGTAGAACGAGCAATAAAAGTCTGCTTTGATTATTTCCATGAGATTGCTGCTCCACCCAAAGTAAAAACATACTCGCTCGTAGAGCTTACCTCATCATTATCAGAAACCCAGTTGGCATCACAATATCCTTCCAGTACCGCAGGAAAGCCAACGAACTCAAGTTTCCAATCCAAAGTACCCTTAAGATACTTCAGTAAGCGTTTAAGAGCAATCTAATGTTCACCACTCGGATTATGAGTATATCTACTCAGTCTACTCACAGCATAAGCAATATCAGGCCGAGTATAGTTCATTAAGAACATTAAGCTTCTGATTAATTTAGCATATTCAGTTTGGGAAATGCTACTTCCTTTATTCTTAACAAGATGTATGCTAGGGTCATAAGGAGTTCGAACAGGGACGACATCAAAACTATCAAATTTCTTTAGCACTTTCTCTATATAATGTGCTTGACTTAAAGAAAATCCCTTTTCAGTTTTGGTAACTCTGACTACTAAGATTACATCAACTTCTCCCAAATATGGCATCTCAAACTTAGTGGACAAGAAACTCTTAACTTTGTTAATGGACTCGATGTTAGAACTGAAAAATCAATATGTCATCAACATACATGCTTATGATGACACATTTAGTGTCAAATATCTTCGAATACACACAAGCATCCGAACCATTCACAACAAAACCAAAACTAAAAATAGTTTTATGGAATTTATCATACCACTGTTTAGGAGC